GATGTGGTGTACTCAGAAGGTAAAATAAAAGATCCTATGAGATTCGATGGAGTCTGATGGACTCCGGGGATGTGATGGCGTATTTCAACTGTGAAGGACATTAGCTTTTCAACGAGCTCTAGCTCCCTTGAGCTGTGAGCTAGTATGAACTCGTTAATGTTTTATTCCCAAAAACGGAACATCTTGCTCTATCAAAGGGGCTAATTCCCAGAACAGAACAAAAGTGTTCCATTTTTCGGGAAAACATTCCTACAACAGCAGATTTTTTGTTCTGTTATGGGTATTGACGCCCTTGAAAAGTAAATTTGTTCTGTTTTTGGGAATCGAATTTTATAACACTACATTTGTTCTAGCATGGGAATACAACAATGACAAGTTTTTAAAAGAAGGCCAATAGAATCGGTCAGATATGACTTGTCTGGAGTCAGTTGAAATCAATTGAAGTCAAGTGGAGTCAGTTGGCGTGTTGAAGTCTGGAGTCCGCTGTTTCCCCCTTGGCTTTCTATCATTCTGTAGATTTATGTTTTAGTTTGCACTTGCTGCTTGAAATTCTGTATCATTCTATATAATCATCTATTCTATTGCATTCCAAAAGAAATTATACATTCTGATAGCGCGGTTCAAGAGCAATTTAGTTTAAAGACATATCTTGATCGAAATTTAACGAGAATCCTATAAAACCTTATCCTTATAGAAATAATAATTCGAAAGAAAACTAAAAAAGAAGCGAAAAAATGCTGATATTTTCGTACTTGTCAACTGAACATACGTTCACCGTACTCAAATTATTTTTCAATAGATAAATACAATAGAATAGATGATTATATAGAATGATAGAGAATTTCAAGCTCTATCAGATATACAATAACTTTTTAAAAATGTAATTCTATAGTAATAAAATATTTAAAAAACTAATGTTGATGACAATGGCAATGTGATGATGAGGATGCCTTCATTGCACTCGATTTATTTTGATAGTGTACAACTATTTTTTTCATGCGTATATATTCGCTTTGTTAACAGGATCGAAAAAGTGGACATCAACAATATGATTCATTTTTTACAGAACGAAAAAATTAGCAAAGAATGAAGTATTGTCCCAAGTACCAATTAAAAGGTGCATTCGATGAAGCAGAAGTTTTTACCATATATACTTCAAAGTGTTTACTAAGAATATTTTTCTTCGATTTAAAAAACTTTCTTCCATTTTTCACTAAAGAAATTTTTTTAAAATTATGTGTATCAAAACAAGTCGTGTTTTTGCTCCACGGCTTGTCCAGCTAACGGTATCCTTTTTTCGCTCTTTTTTAAAAGATTGTTGCGGTAAAGCTACAAACTAATCTAAAATTGCAACTACATAATTAAGTACATTAAACACTTCTCTACAAGATGAAAAGTGTCTTGGCTCTGAATATTGATTAGTAATAAAAATACAGCTGTCGTACAAGCAGCCCCAAAAATCGATTTTTGGAGCTATCTGAAAACGTGTCTAAAAGACTGAAGACAAGCAGACGAAAATTCGAGAAGTATACCAGTTTGTAGAAAATTGTTTGCTCTACAAGATGTGATAGCTTGTTGAAAAATCAGAAAAACCAGCAAAACAATAATCTCTTGAAAAAGAGCGAAAAAAGGATAGCATTAGCTGTACAAGCCGTCCATATGCCAATGCAATAATATTTTCAAAACGGAGAAAACAATAGTTAAAGTAAATAGGATTGAATATACGTGATAAAAATTTGATCTCTGGAGGACGTAAAGTGAGACATGGAGTGGTGGGAATACTTTTTACTATTTGTCACTATTGTAATATCTATCACTGGGAAACTCTGAGCCAAATTTGGCTCTAGTAAATATTTTCTTGTCTAACTGAGCTAAATCATCGCCAATACCTTCATTGCTCTATGAAGAGTCGTTCTTGCGAAACCCCGCAAACTTAACGAACACTCTTAATTATAAGTATGATTCGAAACAAAATGCTGTATTACAATCTAAACACACACGAAAAAGAAAAATGAATACAATTTTTGTCTTATATTATATGGTCTATATATAAATATCTTTACCAGACACGTTGAAGATATTTACTATGAATTCTTGGATGTGGAAGTCGTTTTATTCCAACTAAAAATGGTTTCTTGGCCACATGTATAGGACGAAAATCTTCCACTGGTTCTTCAACTGCTCCTCCATCCATCACCCCGGTATTACATGGGCTGCACATAGTAAAACAAAACTTATCGTCATATAAGGTAATTATAAATCAAGGCGACTTACCAACAACAATGATAATAACACAAAGCACCTGATACTAATGTAAAAAATAAAAGTCCAAGACCTAAACCTAAACCTAAGCCAAGTTTTAACGAAAAATCATTTGAATTTTGCTGATTTGAGTCCGCTGATGCTGATACTAAAGAAGAACAAAATAAATCATCCTTCTAAGATTCCTCGCATCGATGATCAATTTACTGGCTATCAACGGCGTAGATGTGGTTGCATTAGTATTGCATACTAATACACAAGACGCACTTATAGTTGTCGTCGTTGATGTGGATGACGTCAAAGTACTTGTACTGCTCGTTGATGAGCTCGTACTACTAGTCGTTGATGTGGATGACGTCGATGTACTTGTACTGCTCGTTGATGAGCTCGTACTACTAGTCGTTGATGTGGATGACGTCGATGTACTTGTACTGCTCGTTGATGAGCTCGTACTGGTTGTACTACTAATCGTTGATGTAGATGATGTTGAACTAGATGTTGTCGACGTACTTGTACTGCTTGTCCATGAAGGTGTACTAGCTGTGCTAGTAGCTGTTGTACTAGTATCAGGTGTGCTAGTGTCTGATGTGCTAGTAGTATCTGGTGTACTGGTAGTATCCGGTGTGCTAGTAGTATCAGGTGTGCTAGTGCCTGGTGTGCTAGTAGTATCTGGTGTGCTGGTAGTATCAAGTGTGCTAGTAGTATCAGGTATGGTAGTAACTGTTGTACGAGTATCAGGTGTGCTGGTAGTATCCGGTGTGCTAGTAGTATCTGGTGTGCTCGTAGTATCAGATGTGCTAGTGTCTGGTGTGCTAGTAGTATCCGGTGTGCTGGTAGTATCTGGTGTGCTAGTGTCTGGTGTGCTAGTAGTATCTGGTGTGCTGGTAGTATCCGATGTGCTAGTAGTATCAGGTATGGTAGTACTATCAGGTGTCCCAGTAGTATCAGGTGTGCTAGTAGTATCAGGTGTGCTACTAGTTGTTGTGCTGCTTTCCGGTGTTGTAGAGGCGGCTGTGGGTGTTAATGTTGCTAGAACGAAAGAAGTGTTACAGTTTCTATTCTATACAATATTACTTTAACATTTTGCTAGGAATTCTAGTTTCCATAGGGAAACTAGAATGTAACGACATACCTCCCAAATTGTGATATATTTTTAATTTGTGACGTAAAATATTATCAGAAAACTTTTTTTCTGTCTTAATGCATTTGGCAAAGACGGTTTTACTTCGTGCTTCTAGTGCGCTGCGCTGATAACGCTGTGATTGTGCCCTTTGTAATATCCCTCTGAATTAATTATTTCTCTGTTTCTAATGATCTAAGTGAAAAAGAAGTGTTTCCTACTTGTGGTGATTGAGATCGGTGTTTTTGTTGTAAAATGGAAAAAACTCATTATCATCTGTGTAAACAAACAATTTCAGAAAAGATGCTTGAGTGTTTTTCGGTTGACTGATACTCTTTCTACGAGGTACAACTATGAGTATACAGATCATCTTTTTATTTTATACTTAAGTCTGTAAAAATAGTTGATTATTTTGTCAACAAACCTTAATAAAAACTGTACTGGTGGTGGTTGAGGTTCTTATAGTAGAATTTGGGGATTTGTAGTCTTTTAGAAACCTTTTTCTAATTTTCTTCAGCATTTTTTGCCTAGTTCTTTAAATTTCAATAAAAGTTTTGATTTTCAGTTTCAAACCTCAATTAGCATAGAGCGCAGCGAGATGTATATGAAACAAAATTCTGATCGCCCCCGAATCATCCATCCGGTCTGATAGAGATTTTCAGATTTGCCCTTAAGAATAGGTTTTAGGGTCAAAAGTATTCGAAATCTTGCTTGCAGTTCCTTCGCGGCAGAGCACTTGCAGCAGGAAATGTCACCTGTCAATCGCCAGATTAGCGATCTGTATGAATTATGCAAGGACGAATGCAGTTCTATAAAACTAGGTATATTACTGTACATGACTTTGTCTTATTTCAATATCAGCTGCCGTCATATCAATCAATTTATGATGGAAATTAGTGAACGAAGATGCTACCACGCACACAGATGTGCTACAACGTTTGCCAATGCATTTTTCGAGAATGGTTTCTTACAGACCTCCTAGAAAACCCTAGAAGATCTTGAAACTATGTACTGTGAACTATGAACTATGAACTCTCTATGGTGTTTGATTGAGTTCTCTTCATTTTTTTTCACAGTAAATCGAACAGAATGAGACAGAGATATTGGAATACCGAGAGAGGCAAAATACATGAAAAGAAAGAGTTGGTCATCTGAAACAGAGCGAGCAACAAGTAACATTTAGTATGAAACAGTATTCCAAAGGAAAAACTCTTCTCCAAAGTGTGCTAGAGAAATTCAGATTTGACCTTAAGAATGGATTTTAGGGTCAAAAGGTATTCGAATCTTGCTTGCAATTCCTTTGCGGTGCAACACTTGCAGCAGAAATGTTACTGTGAAACTCGTTTATCATTTTTTCTGTAGCATAGTGCACTGCTGTTGCTAAATTTCATATGTTCAATCTTTAAAATTGAAACTAATGAGTCGCACTGTGCAAAAAAGCTTTTCAAACTTTAGTGATAGTTTCTCAAGTTTCTATAGACCGAAGGAAGCGTCCAGAAAATATGAAATTCATAGAGTAGAAATTCGTTAAGCTCGATCATTAAATTGATTTTTACGAAATCTTAAAATTGAAAATTTTCTCACATTTCTGAACGCCACCTTCAGTCTGAAAAACAGAGAAAGTGCGGCCAAAAGTACTGTCTTATGCTACAGAAAAATGATAAACAACTTTTACAGTAACATTTCTGGTGCAATTGCTCCACTGCGATGTAGTAAAAACTGGAACCAACCTGAATAATGTTTTGAATAGCCCGAAGATTTCTGCAGTCGATTTACCATTAGCTACAAAGGGCGTGAAAGTCACCGAAATATTCGGTGAAAAAGCACTGTCTTATTCGGTTCAGAATTCTTGGCTCTATCAGGCCATATGCTTTGCAAAATTTTCGGACCAAAATCTAAGGACGAAGAGCAACCGTTGGTTACCGTCGACGGCAACCAAGACGGCGCTTAATGTTCTTAACTTGGTTATTGATCATATATGGTCAATAATCAATTCATTGCAATGATTCTTTTATTCCAGCAAACAGTCGAAAAAATATAAAAGAGTCGTCTGACACGATACTTCTTTTATTGCTTTTTATCACAACATGAAATTTATCGCGATAAATGATATTTTTATCCACCCGTCACCGATTTTTCTACGATTTATCGAAAAGAAAAATTCACCGCGATAAATCATAGCAAATTATAATATGATATATTTATCGACAGGTATCGCGATAAAAGAGATTTCTGCGAT